AGTCACTTCCTCCCAGGTGTCCATGCATTCTTTGGTGACAATCATCACAACCCAAGCAAGGTCTTGCTGCAGTCACAGATGTCTTGAACCTCCCAGAACTGCACCAGGGTCTTCTCAGTGTCTTCCTCTGCTGCTATGATAGTTTGGCCAAATGCCTACTCATACACTAGATCTTAAACACTATTACTCCCTTACCCATTGCTGGACAGGTGCTGTCTAGAGGGAGCAACACCACTTTGTTATCCGGGTGAAGATTATCAATAAAGGGAGGGCGTGCCTGTGTATTATCAACATTAAGTAAAATCTTCAAAAGCAGGTTATTCTCCAAACAGTAATGCTTCATTTGGCTGGTGCAGAAATTTAGGAGGACATCTTGGAAGAGTAACTGGCTCATTACTTCTTATTGCCCCTGCAGTACCCTGGCAGTGTGTGTTTATTCATGTGCTTGACAGCACTGGATTCTGACTGTGCCAGGTCACCAGAGGTTTCTTTTTTTTTTTCATACCGGGGACTGAACTTAGGTCCTTGCAGGCAGTGAAACCACTGAACTAAATCCCCGGCCCACCAGAGGTTTCAATTTGCAACATTTCACATAAGCAAGACTACTGTCCCATCCTTATAATCCTTGAAATCTAGCACTGATTTCATCTGGCACTGAATCAAAGTCCTTTCAGGCATCCATCTCCAGAATAGGGAAGTTTTCTCCATAGTGGAGGTTTGCTCTGGCAAGTAATTCCCTCCAGTCAACTTACCTAGATTTTCCAGAAATTCTTCAGCAGGTTTTACATCAGCACTCAAACATACAACTACTGACTTTCATGTTATGTAATGAATAATGATTCTTCAATCACTTAAACTAGTCCAAGCTAGCAGTAAACCCAACACTATAGTGGGGCTGACCCTTTTCTTTCAATACTAAAAAACAACTACATTATTTGCTTTGGCTGTGATCATTATGGTGCGAAGAGGGACAGGATTCTGTGCCTGGTCTTCAGCCGAGGTTGCTCTTTCTCCTTATCTGATAAGGCTCTTCTGGAAGTTTTGTTAGTATGTTATCTTCACTGAAGAAGACCCTCTAACTGTTGCCATCATTTTGTTCCTCTTCAAGTTGTAGGTATGGTGGATGGAACATGCCTGACTGGCACACCATAACCATCATTTATTTTCCTCCCTTCATAGCCCTTGATCACTCTTAATTTTGTTTCCATGTCAATCAGTGTGGCCTCTTACTGGTGACTTAACAGTAGCTTTTGTTTACTTTGGAGCCAAAAACAAAACAACACATGACTGAAGCACAAGAGTACAATACAGTCAAGAGACAGTATGAGATGCATGAGGCTGCTGCCAGCACAACACATTAAGTGGTATGCTGTTTCACAGTGAATTTTTTTTTTAACTAAGCAAGAGTACATTCTCAAAAACAGCAAAACAGTAAATACATAAACCATTTACAGCCACTTATATCATTAAGTATCATGTACATAATTATAATTGTATGTGGTATACTTACATACAATTGTTAGCTCAGTAAGTTTGTTTACACCAATATCACCACCAACAAAAGTAATGTGTTGTACTAGACTTTTTTTTTTTTTTTTGCTGGTCCTGGGGACTGAAACCAGGGCCTTGTGCACACTAAGTAGGTGCTCTATCACTAAGCTACACCTTCACCCCTGAGCTTGACTTTTTGAAGCCTGTACCATACAATGCAATAGAAATTTTTCAGCTACATTATTTTATGCAATGAGTGTCCTATATGTGGTCAACTGTTGATCAAAACAGCAGTATGTGATACATTTAAAGCCTAAACTAAAACAGAATACTTGTGAGGAAGAATGATTATACACATGATATATCTTCTGTTATTTTACATGTGTCTTTTGCATTTCTCCTCATAATGTATATAATTCTTTCACATGATTATTCTAATTAATGGAGATTTAAAAATATTGTAAATATATATTCAATTCTAATTCTTTTATATAGACTTCAAAATAGTCTGTCTCCATTTATGTGTGCATAAATATAAATGTATATATGTATACATGGATATAGACATAGATACATGATATAACTCTAGGTATAAGACGACATATATGGAAGTCTAAATCTTTAAAAAGGTAATTCCTCACATTCTTAAGCAAAGAAAAATAATCTTCATATTAAAAATCTACTTTCTTCAAAATTTCAGTTAATAAACATTAAGCTTCCCTTTTCCAACTCAGTCTTCATTTGAATATGCAAATGATATCTTTCATACAAATATTCATTTTTCACCATCCCTGATGAAATGGAAATTATTTTAATATGACGATTAGAATATATCTGGCCTCAGCCTTCAAAGTTTCAAGATTACCAAATTTCAATTACATGCTAATATTACAAGTTAATTTGTTGTTTTTCCAATCATTTGAGTATAGAATTTCTCTGCTGGACAGAGTATCAACAGAGAATTTTATCTTATAAGACTACTGAATTCATTTCTAATATTCTAGTTTTCTTCTTTTAAAAATAAAAAGCAAGACATCTAAGGGAAAAAAGTAACAAAGATATTTTCATATCTACTACTTTATCACAATTATTAATTTTACATATCACCTATGTATTTATACTTTTAAAAAATTATGTCTACTGTTTATGAATATAGCATTTCAGGCTTCTCATTGTATTAAAATTTATAATTTTAATAGTAAAATTTAATAGTATAGTATAATTTAAACAACATTAAAATTTATAATTTTAATAGGTTTGTAATGTATAAATTTTTTCCTAAAATTGGCTACTCAATTTTTTTTGCTGTAATGAATACTTTTGGTTCTATTTAATTAAAAAATTAGGATAAATCTCTAAGGAGGAGAATTGCTAGATGAAACAAACTATAAAGTCATTACGCCTCTTGATATAAAGTGCCAAAATGTTTTCCAAAGTGGCTACATTAATTCAGAGCTGTTTGAAAACAACAATTTTCACCTACTGATAAAAATGACTGCTATCTTTAACGGTAATGGACATTTAATGGTAATGGACAACTTAGAAAAACTGCTTTCCTATTTTAATGTCTACCAATGTAGAATGGTATCTCAAAATTGCCTAAAGAACACTTCTATGATTACAAATAAGAGTAAACATGCTTCTGCATTTTGTTTACTATCACCTTGTGACAAGTTCTTCTCTCCATTCTTTAACTTAGGGATTTAAATTAGTATACGTGCTACCAAAGCGAGCACACTCAGGGATTTAAATTAAAAATCTGAATGATTTTCTCATATATTATGATAACATTTCATCATAAACATAAAAAGAGTTTTTGTCCTAGTATATGATATCTCTCTTCCACACTTGATATTTTTCATTATATGAAAAGTGTGTATATGAAGTCACCTCTTTCCTTATGTTTTTTTGTTTTAATCTGAAAAAGCTATTATTCTTCTTTTACCTCCAAACAAAATCAATTCATATTGGTAATGCCATACATTTAAAGCAGTTAACTCTCTTTACATATTTAGAGAATTTTTGGTGTAAGTGGGATCTTTTTTCAAAACTATTTATTTCCATATTATTATTATCATTATTATTTTTATTAATAACTGTTGTTCATAACGTGGCTTGAAAGCCATACTTTTCTTACTCATAGTGGTAAATATTTCTGAATATCCTAAGCTATTTGGATTCATATTTCATCCTTGGCACAAAGCTCTCCTTTTAGTTTTGAATACTGTTCTGATATCTGGTAAAACTAGATATTTTGCATCCTATCTGATTTTTTTTTTCCACAATGACTTTTTGAGGTTTTTTTGTTTGTTTTTTTTTAAGAAAGAATATTAAGTTGATCTTAATCTGGGAATAACAGCTTAGCAGCACTGCACCTGCCTCAAAGGCGCAAGGTCCTGAGTTTGATCCTCAATACCAAAAAATAATAATATTAATATGCTTTTTGCTCTCTTACAAAAATGGTATAGTTTGCATTAAATTCATATAATGCATCCATGAGAAGCTTTTAAACAGTAAGGAATAAGGTCTTAATTTGGACACGATATTATTGAGGGCATTTATCACTGGTCTCCATCAGTGGTCATCTAAAAATCCATGAGTCTTTCCCATGAGAACTTTTCCTAGTTCTTTCACAACTAAAATCGCATAAATCATCTATTTTGACATAGCAGGTAATTCCTTAACATTCTAGCATCTTTAAAGCAGATGGTACAGAAAATGCCATTTTTATAATATCAAAAGAAAAGATTTCCCTTCCCTCTTAGCCATCAATCCCTTCCATTTACTTATTCACTGTTTTTATGTTTTTTGATACTGGGGATTGAACTCAAGACCTTGTGCTTGCGAGGCAGGTGCGACACCACTGAGCTAAATCCTGGGCCTCCATCTAGTAATTCAATCACAAATTCTTGATTCAGAATTTAATTTATAGAGAAAATAAAAATTTCAGAGCTCTGCATGGTAGCACATGACTATAATTCCAGTATTGTGGAGGCTGAACCAGGATGATCAAAAATTCGAGTCTAGCCTCAACAACCTAGACCCTGGGTTAATAAACAAAAACAAAAAAATATTTAAATGGGACTAGAGATATAGCTCATTGTGAAGGCCCTGGCTTCAATCCCCAGTACCATCACCAAAAAAAAAAAAAAAGGGGGAAGGAGGAAAACTGGCTAAATAAGCTATCTGTTTAACAATAACCCACAACCTTCGGACCAACTTAAATAAGCTATCTGGACAGATAAAAGAAACAATGCAGAGTGAGTTACAATGCTGCTGTGTTCTTTGTGTGCACAGGGTACTCTTCCTAAACAGACCAGATGCTACAGTGAATTTTGAGACTCCCAGCTCTGCCCAGAGCTAAGAAGGGTCCCTGAGAAGTCTCAATATGTACTGCAGAACTGAAAGGAAACAGGCACCATTTGCCAGTATTCTCGACAACTAGTTATAAAAAACCAATAGGGAAAGGTCAGAAACTGATATTCTAAGCTTACAAATTTTACTTTTACCTTCAAAACCAGAATTCAGAAGATGCTCCCCAAGGTCACAACCAAACACCCTCTCTTTCAAGATCCCCCGCTGCTTTAGCTTCTGTTTTGTTGGACGAGACTTCATGAATGTTCGTAAGAAAGTAATGAGTTTGCCGTGCTTTTTAGACACTAAAAAATAATAAAGAGAAAAATACCTCAGTTGTGGCAAGAGATTATATTTTACTCTTCATGATAAAAAAACTAGACATCTCAACAGGCTGATTGCACCGTAATTTATAACAAATATATTTTATAAGTTGTAGGGGAATATCAACAGAAATGTAGCTAATGTTACATACTATAAAAATTATAAAAAACTTCATAATTTTGCATTTTCTTCTGAAGTAAGCATGTGATCTTACTTGATGGTATTATGAGCAAACTTCATTCAGTGCTGAATCCATGACCTTCAAATCAAACTTGCTAAACCAGCTATCTTCCCAATGTATACTCAAGGACGCTACAGGATTACAAGAAGGGTCTAATTTTTACTTTTAATCAGTCACTTTGGAGATCTTCATAAGAAGTAAGACTTAAGTCTTAAAAGAGTGTAAAGGAAAGAAACAACAACAACAAAAATAAATAAATAGATAAAAAATTAAACAAAACAAAAAAAAGTGTAAAGGTAGTTTGCACTTCTAGTTCATTTCTAAAATATTTTTCTTGATGGTTACAAATTTTCACAGTAATTGTAATTTTATGAGTACACTAGAAAAAGGAAAATCCCCTCCTTCACATTTTACAAAGAGGACAATGTCCGGATGATATAAAACACATTTGTCAACTTTACAGTTATATAAATACAAAAACCACACAAACATCAAGTCTTCTATTAAAGTCATCTAGATTATATTAAACCTATCACCTTAAATTTTTTGTAGATCAGGCAAAATACAAGTAAATTAATAATTGGGACAGTATTTCCACTAATTTATATATTAGAAAGATAACAGTGAAAGAATTAAAACCAAACAAATGCCAAGAAAAATAGCTTTTGCTAAGAAAGGCAGCCCACAGAGAAAATTGCTCTAAAAGTTAATGCAACAAATTCCATGAGCTCAGCTATTAACTATTAAGACAGAAGACCATGCCATGTGGCTTCAATTCTATAGTTTGCAGATGACTGCTGGAGTTCTACTCAATCCTACTGTAGATTCTTAATAAAAATCCATGATGGCTCCAGAAGGAACTCTTCACCATGAGTAACTTGTGGCCCAGAAGGGCTGTTGAATGTGGTGCTCCAGACCAGACAAGATAGTATTTGCTATTCATTTCTTTCCATTCTTGCAGACAAACCATCTTTTCCACAGACTGCATGGAGGTGACCTGCCATTCTTGTTGGATCCTGACTGAGGTTTCCTGATAAGTACATGAAACTGTCCATGCTAAAACTCAGAAAAGTCCCAGACAAACTGCAACATAGCAGTCATTCTATATTGCATACAGATTAAATGGAAAATTTATTCTTTTTCTATACCAGTTCTTCAAAATTAATACTTAGAATCCTTACTATAATTTTGATGCCATCTTTGACATGATCTGAAATCCTGAGTAAATTACAATCGCTCTTGTGTCTGAAATTTCTTGCTGTAAAATTTAATGATGTACCCTCATATCTGTAAGTGAGACACTGATAGCACATTCAACTTCAGAGTCTGTCACATATATTGTATTATTGGGCTGGGATGAATTTTCTTCTCCAGTAGTTGCTAGCAGTTTATCTATTAAGAATCTTTGTTGAAGAACAGCCACCAAGCCATTTCTATTCATCACTTTCAAACATTTTCCACATGAACTTCAAAAAAAATTTAACAATGTTTCCCTCCAAAATAGAGTTTGATTTGCAACAATTTAAGACTATTTGATAATTTGATTGGAGGATCATAATTATACACCTGTTTCCTTTCTCAACAAAGTAATTATCAGATTGTTTTCAGTAGTTAATAAGGAAATAAATAGGGTGAATTGACTGTGACTTGAGAGGAAAGAAACTCCACTACATAGGATGGTCAGGTATAGCATTCCTGAGAAGGTAATTTCTGAGCTACAAGCCAGGAGGGTGTAAAGGATCTAGGAAGACAGCTGTACAAACAGGCTGAAGAGGTAGGTAAGGGAGAGATTATAAGCCATATCAGAGAGTTTGGGTTTTATGCAATGAGACTACAGATCAAACCTGCTGGACCATACCCAAGAGTCAAGGCAGCCAGAACCTCCTGGCTAGACTTGGGACAATTCAAACATCATAAATAATAACTATGCTTGTTTATAAAACATCAAATAAATATCCAATTTCATAGCAACATTCCCCAAAAGAAAGGAAGGAATGAAGCAACAATTTTCAGCACAAGTGAAGCTAGAACATTTCAACAACTGCAGCAAGTAGTGTTTCATATTGAATTGGGCTCCTTGACAGAAAAGGGTAGGTATTAATGTTTTACATCAATTAGCAATGTTATGTCTTGAATTATTGACTAGAATTATACAATGACCTTCACAATTCATTTATAACTTAATGGAAACAGGTGTATAATTATGATCCTCCAATCAAACACTCATATGCAATAAAATCCCATTCATTCAGAAGAGGGCAGCCTACATACAACTGGCTTTCCAGGACATTAAGTTAAGTTGCCTTAATTCTAATTCTTGGTTTGGTTAAGTTTGGCTCAAGAAGAAAGTTGGCTATCTTTCCCTACTGTGGTAAAGATTGTTCACATTTATTTTTCCTCAACAGTGACACAAGACCTAATTAACAGCTGCAAAAAAGCACAAGATTAAGATGGTGGAGGATGTCGCTAGCAAGGCTGTGCCCTATTTGGCACTCGAGGGCTCTGGCAAATACTGGTGATTTACATGAGCCCCTTGTTTCTACTCCATGCCACCATCTTGCTCCCAATACCATTCTCAAATCATTACTAAAAAAGTCAGGACTTCACATGCAAACTTGAGAGGTGACAGTCTCCTCTTGCCAGTCTATATCCCAATCTGACACTAAAATAACAGTGTCTTCAGTGGTATCTAAGCTTTCAAAAGAAGATTAAACTATGTTCTGCAGAGTTTGGGAGTTGGCTGCTACTAATATTATAACTGGCACTCTCACTGTAATAGAGTAGTGGTGAGAACCTCTGGCATCCATAATTAAATAACCAGTTTTCTATCAACACATTAATCATTGCATTGGATATTTAAACTAATAAAATCATTCAATTTAATTATACTCAGAATTGAGAATTTAGTAACAATTACAAATACAAATATAAATATCTTGTCATACTAATTTTCTTCATTTTAAACTTCCTTCCCATTTGCATTACAGTGGCCAAAATGAACTTATTTTGGCCATAAGCACTGTCACTACCCCCACTTCCTGTGTGATGTTACCAATTACTACCTTTTGAGAAGCAGAACCATAAAATGCTGTCATAAGGCTTCTACTGAGGAAGGTAAGAGTTTGGTTATAATAGTTAAGTGCTTACAAACCCATTTCTATAGAGGGGGAAGGGAACCTGTGAAGGGTAAGGTCCATCAAATATGCTGGGTTAGAAACAATAAATGATAACAATGGAATTCCACAGATAAAATGTATCAAAAATAAAGTACAAAATGATACCTAGACAAAAGTAAAGCATATTTTCCTAGAGTTAAAATCCAACTTATGCCACAATCCTAACTTATTCCAGATCTTTTACCTGAAATCTTTTTATAAACCTCAGACAAACCCTACCAGACCAGTCTTTCTGGCAGTTACAAACTTTCACAGTATGACACACAACTGAGTATCTCCAAGGTAGATCTTTATGATACCAATAATCAGAGATACTAAAAACGCACAGCTCTGTAAACCACAGTAAACCTTGGCAAGGAGGTGGGACACCCGGGCTTCTAATTACACAGTAGAATATTTCTCAAACAATCCCACAGTAGTCTTGCTTTCTCATAATACATCGCCCCAACTAGAGTTCTGGAAATTGCTTCTCGGAAATCTCTAGACTAATGTAAGACAAGTCTGGGCATGGATTAATCTCTGAGGGTGTAAAGGAAGATGGCCTGTGACTAGTAATAGTCCAGCACTAAGTTTATTTGATTATGTGTATAAAGTTGTAAGATCTGTAATAAATTTGAAAAGTCAAGCAGACAGAATTAGAGGGTAGTAGAGATATATAATACCTGTGGAGATTGTGCTCATTTTACTGAAGGTATAATGAAGTATAAGTGTAATGTTTAAAATCCAGTGAATGTTCACACATTGTATACAGTAGCCTGTTTTTTACTCAGGTCTCAAACACAGATTAGATGACCACTTGGTACAAATTTAACAGAGAGGAATACAAATATAGGCAACTGGGGTACATGGTATTTATGGCTCTCTTAGAACATCCCCAAATCCTATCATTCTAAGTTACTATTCCATGCTTCAAAATTTTATAGTAAGTAAGTAGGAAAAGATGTTAATCTTAATTTGAAACTCCATAACATGCCTTTAAAGCATAACAATATCCTCAACAGTGAACACAAAGAAAAGATTTTTCTGTAGACAACTATTTAATTGATCAAATGGACTAGTGTTCTAAAAATTCTGCTCTTCAAAAGAAAATTTAGTAAATTGTAAGGAAATAACAACTACAAACTATTGACACAAAAGGCCACTGTGTTGTGCTCAGTTTTAACCTGATTATTATTTTGAAAGCAACTGTGTACTTAGCTTTGTACTCAAGTCTTCAGTAATGTTTTCAGGACAAGCCAACTGAAAGCACGATTAGGAGAAATAGGCGTGGAGTATGACTGCCCTGGAAAATAAGGAGCTGGGAAACAGACAGAAGTTACCAGAGCCCATGGGAAGTACACTTACTTTGAAAAATCACTCAACAATTTTATAAGCAGAAAAGTTTGAGAATAATAGTGAATATTCATTATCTAGTTTTTTGAACCATTAATATTTTGTTGCATTATTTCATTGGATTTATTTTCTTTTTAAGTTAAAAAATAAAAGCACCACAGATAGTTGAAGCTGTGTATCTTTCCCTAATTTTATTCTCTCCATACATAGCCTTTATCCTAAATTCAGTATTTATCATTCCCATTGTTTTTATATTGACTACATGTATACTAAGCCAAAAACAATAAATTCT